AAATTACGAAATGCTAAGACTAGAAGTTTCCTGACAGCATTTAATCTAACCCCCTTGTTTTACAGGTAAGGAAACTGAAACCAAGAAAGTTCGAGCAACTTGTCTGAGGTCACACAGCCAGCTAGTTCCTTCAGACTCGGGCTTCAGTGCTCCTTTTATGACCTCAGATGTGTTTGCACCTGGTGCCCTGGGGGCTGAGGGGTCAATGTACCGCCTGGGTCAATGCCCCCAGGCCAGCCAGCACCCTGCTGTGGGGTCACTAGGTCAGTGCACATTCAGCTTTAAGCTTATGCTGAACCATGCAATGGAGTAAACTCTATTTTAAAAACCAAACTAATAAAAATATCTGCTTGTTAAAAATCCAAGCAGTATAGAAGTGTGTCCAGAAACACTTGAAAGCACCTCCTCCCAGCCCTCCCAACCCACTCCCCAGGGGCGACCACTTAGCACTGTCTCCAATGGCTCCTTAATTTTCCTGCCAGTCATTGGGTTTTGTAGGATCCATGCCACAGCAAGGCTATTTTTAACAAGCATCCCAGGCTTTGGGGGGTTGAGGAGAGGGGAAGAAAAAATATTCCATTTGTGTATTTTTAATCCCTGCACATTTGAGCAGTGGCTTTCCTGTGCCTGCTGCCAAGGGTTTCGGGCAATTGATTTGACTTTCTGGGTGTGGGGTAATCCTTTCTCTTCCCCTAACGAGGCTGGAGGGCCAGGGAGGGGTTCAGGCAATGTTTCCGGGGCTGATGGCTGTCTTAGCTGGCTGCCTCCTGATCCTGCCTTCCCCAGCCCTCTCCCTCCCGGCAGCCTTGAAAATCCTGGCTGGGTCTCCCAGGGCAGAGGAGGCCTGGGAACCTGACTCTTTGTGCCAGACTCATATTTAGAAATGTCTCCAGCCAGAGGTTGGCGACTGTCCCACTTGGGCTCTGGGCAGGGGGTGCGGTCACATGTCTGCCTTCAAGTGGGCAGATTCTGAGTGGGCAACAGCCCGCTTTGAATATAAACACACTCCCTTTATGCCAAGTTGCTGGCATCTAAGCCTGTGCTCTCAGGCCTTGGGTGAGGGCAAGGGCTGAGCCGACGGGTGATAGGAAGAGCGAAGATGTTACCAGGCTTGGACTGAGCAAAATGGCAGTAAAAGAGGTGTCCCGGTTCCCAACTCCCTGCCCTTCTGGCCACTGTTCTCTTTCTGGACTCCTTCTCCAGGTGCCCAGAGTGCTGTTCCTGCCTGAGTAGGCAACCTGCAGCCCCCTGGGGAGCAGGGCAGAGCCCCTATTGAACTTCCCTTTCCTTTAGGCCTCTGGAGTTCCCCGGTCTGTTCCTGGGAGGCCACGTGGACCAGGGTGAGGCCTGGATGTGGGGCTACCTGAGGCAGGTCCTGCTCCCTCTCTCTGAGCAGCCAGCCCCTCCACGCCCACATCATCACACCTGCAAAATGTGGCCCCAGATGATGTCATCCCTGAAGGTGCTTTCCGAGGAGCAGACAGCAAATGTTCTACAGTTTCTTGTTCACCCTGCTTTCTTTCCCATGGCAGTACTTGATGATGGATGAAGTAGACCAATTGATCCCAGCCTTAAATAGTCGCCCTCCTGGGTAACAACACCATGCCATAGCCCTGCAAAACCTTTCCCTCTTAAACAATTCCTTTAAAGAGGAGCATTGTGGTTCCTGGCTCCTGCCTTAGATATTCAGTGAGCACCTATGGAAAGGCTTGCAGTTCCTTCCATCACCCCTCCCCACCCCTCTTCAGGCCTCCCCGGGGACCAGCGAGTCTGCTCACCAAATTCAGCTCCCTGGAGTGGAGCTGCTTTTCTGCAGCTGAGTCTTCAGACACCATCCAAATGCAGCCAGAGGACATCCCTCCAGCAGCCTGAATCCGGACCAATGCCAAGTCCTCAAGCCCCTGGCAGCCTCTGCCTCTCCCTGCCCCATCCTCCCCTCCTCTCCTTACATCTCAGAAGAAGAAAGCTCCGAGAAGTGGTCAAGAAGGCTGAGTAGTTGTATTTTTTGTATTTCCTGGGAGCAATGTGGTAGATACACAAGAACTGAATGAATGAATGGGCTGATGAATAAGTGAGGGAGTGGACGGATGAAAGGGTAAATGGAAACCTGGTCTCTGTTCCAAAGGAACTTGACATTCAGAGAAAAAGAACCAGGCTTGGGGCCTCCCTGGTAGCGCCGCGGTTGAGTGCTGGGTTGCGAAGCTGCCTGCAGCCTCTGCAGCGCCTGTTTGATCCCCGGCCCCCAGCCACTGGGTGAGGGTCCCACATGGCGCGCAGACCTCTCCTGCCACGCCCGCTGCTCCCCTCAGTAGTGTATTTCGTCAGTCTGCCTGTTCTGCTCCCTGCTCTGGCTCTGGTGAATTCTCACCCTCCCGCGCTTCTGACTGTACCCAGTGCTTGTATAAACAACAACAACAACAAAAAAAAAACAGGCTTGTAGAATGGTGTCACTGTGGGGCTGAGAGGGGCCCTAGGTGTGAGAGTCACCCTTTAATGGGAAAGGTAGCACCGGCTGAGGGGGAGGGAGGGGCTGCTGGTGCAAGGAGGTGAGGGCTGGTGAAATCACACAGGATGGGTGAGATCTGCACCAAATGCAAAGCTGCCCTACTTTCCCTCTGCTGCTGCCCTAAGTGTCCCTCGTCCTTGGGAAAAATTGCCTTTTCATATGGTTGGGAGTGGACGGTGCAATTTTTCTTCGAGGGTTAATTGTTTTGCTGACAGCACAGATAATTAGGAATGAGATTCCCGGAGTGAGGGCGACAGCACCATCTGCTGTGAATATGTTTCAACCCCACCTTGCAGGAGGGCACGAAAGGGCTCCTGTCCCCACCCTCCCCACCCCCAACAAAAATTTATGCACTCTAGCTGTTGGCTTCTGGAACTACAGCTGCCAGGTGACTGCAGGAGCAGGGTGGGCTGGAGATGCTTTTAGGGTGCAGTTTCTTCTCCCTCCCGCTTGGCATCCAGTGCACCTAGTAGGGTCCAAGGTTGAACAAGGAACCCCGGGCTGCCTGGGACAGAGTGCCAGAGCCAAGGGGATGACTTTTGTTCTTCCTGAGGTTTTGATGTCTGGTTCCCTGTTGCCTGGGAGTGGTCGTGTGGGTCTGCACCAAGCTCCATGGCTGCTGTTGGTGTTTGGGGCATTTTCCTGTCTAACCCCATGGATTGGCCACCTGTCCTGGGTTTCCTGGCCTTTGCTCCCCGCTCCCTATTCCTGAAGGAGATTGGCCTTGCCTTCTCCTGGCAGGTAGGAATTTCTGAGGTGTAATTTCCACCGTGTTCACAGGAGTAGAGCAACCTCAGAATTAGAGAATCTCATTGTCCAGGAATGATGGGATCTTTGTTCATATGGGATGAAAATCATGTGTTTTTTTTTTTTTTCATTTTTTTATTATTTAGGAATATATCACATATGCAAAAGAACACGGATATGGTAATAATAAATTACTTGCTTTGTCTTTCAAGGGGGCGTCTATCCCCTAGTGCTGCCTGGCCCAGAAATGCCTCAGAGGCCGGAGCTGTAGAGAACCAGGTGGCCCAAGAGGCTGAAGGTCAGCACAGCCCCCTAAAGCTGTGGCTATTTGTCACAGCCAGTTGTGTCTTTGGCTGAGCTGCTCCTGTTAGCAAGGGCCCTCCACACTGCTGTCTTCCTTTTTATCACTCTCCTGTCTGTGTTTTCTCTGCTGAGACCCACCTATCAGGGAAGAAACCAAAGGTGTGATTGTTTCTCTCTCTCCCCATCCCCCGCAGCCAGCCTCTGTTTCCCTCCTATTCCTTATTTCCCTGCCATCCCTGAGGTGACATGAAATTAATCTAAGACCACATTGCTTTCTGGTAAGAATAATTGGGGGCTGGAAATTCCAGGTCTTTCACAAACTTACTGTGTGGTCTTTAGTGAGAGTGTCAACCTCTCTGGGCTCCTGTGTTCTCATCTTTAAAATACCCTTTTACATTGCTACTATGAGATCAAATGTGTTCAATGGATGCAAAAGCAGCTTGATGAGTGTAAATCATGATAGCTCCCATCATCCTGCTTATGAAGTCTGTCTTCACGCCCCTGCCTTCCATTGCTATCCTCATCCCTGTCCATGGTGCTTCCCCTTCCTGCAGAGCTGGGTGACCCGGGTGGACACGCTATCTGCCATGGTTCCTTCTCGGCAGCAGGTCCATTGATATCTGGAGGAGTCTGAAGTTGGGGTGGAGATCAGGGTCACAGCCAACTGGGTGGCAGGAGCCCACTCCATCTCCAGGAGCTGGGGGCCATGTCTGATTGGCAGGGCAGTGGCCAGTGTGGACTTGGTCTCCAGAGACTGGAGGCCTCCAACCTGCTTCTGGCCAGAGTTTGCCACCCCTGACTATGAGCCACAGTCTTGGCTATGACATGTAGTGCCTCAATGGAGGCAATGTCTGTCCCTCACCTGGTTTTGCATCCCCCGTTCTCTTGCTCTGAAGTCAGGGCTGTGAAAGGCTCATCAGCAGTCACAGTAAATGGTCTAACTGGAGCCCCCAAACCACAGCAGAGGCTGTCTCAGAGGCTGGACTTAAAGAGTGGAGAAATGTCCCATGATGTCATGGTCTTGTTCTTTGTGAGTCTTAGTAGCACCTGGTCCTTATTCCCTGGGGGATGAGGTTCTGTTGGCGGATTGGAGTTGAACTCTGAATGGTGGGTAAGATGAGTGGTGATAGTGGGTCTTTCAGGCAGAGACAACAAAAAATATGTAAAGGTAAGAAAATAGGAATGAAGTGAGGGTGTATGTGTGTGCGCATGCTCACACACACACAAAGGTGCACATGCATTCACTGCAGCCTAGGGGCAGGGCAGGTGAGCTGGACATTGGCAGTGAAGGTCCTGGCTAAGGTTGTGTCTGTAGAGTCACCAGAAATTGCTGAACCTAATAATGAAGAGCAATAAGAAGATGGCTGGAAAGTTCTAGAACAGTTAAAACTTATGCATGTATCTCTGGCCCTGGTGGTAACAGAGGCTTCTGTTCTTCTTGCAGGTCTCCCCTGAAGCAGCTTGGAGCTTAGAGGGGGCTATCCAGCCAGGAGAACTAGAAGGGAAGGTGTGGAGCCCACCCAGGGACTAAGGAGTGAGCATAACCTACAGCCTGTTGGGCCTGGAGCCTCCAAGTTGGGGGCTGCACCAGTGGGGAGACTTAAGAAGAATAGATGCTTCGGCCCTGATGACATGTACACGGTGTAATGACAGGTAATGAACCTGAGGCTCATCTATCCTTTATGAATGATGTTGCAGGTAGGAGAATATATCAGCCTGCAGGTGACATAAAATGTCAACCCTTGGAAAGATAACTATGCAAACAAAGCACAGTAAGGCCTGATAAGATGATAGATGTGTGCTTTGCAGTTATTAGTTTCTGCCCCATGTGCTTGCTGAGCCAGGCACTGAAAGATTTAGCATCAGGTGGGCTCACTCCTGTTCCTTCTGGGAAGGCCTGATGCCTTTATGGGTGGGAAGAACTCAATGTAACAAATCAAGCAGTCATTATTACCCACCAGCAGCCTGGGAAGCAGAGAATGGGAAGGTGTGGAAAGGTGGGAGTGGGAAGGTGTGCCAGTGGGGAAACAGAGGCAGCTCAGGGTATGTGAGCTTTCATGTATCTATACAGGAGGGATAGACTGCTCACTGCTTGGGGAGCCTTCAGGATTGATTCAGACTTCTTGAGTGGCAAGTTGATATTTCATGCAAAAAAAAAAAAAAAAAAGAGGATTTTGTGACTCCTTCTGTCTGTCCAAGGTGTTAGAGCAACTAGCTGATGATTGAGGGTGGCTGCGGGGAAGTCATGAGTAGGGCTCTGGAGAGGTCAGGGGTGTCTGGCAGACATCCTGGGACCAGCAGTAGAGCTGGGGAAGTCAGCCAATTAGGGGAGCATCAAGCAGGTTCCCAGAGCCTAAAAGGCAGGGCCCTGGAAGGACAGGGTCCCAGTGGGACTGGAAATCCCAACTGTAAGCTCTGACCCAGTGGAGAGCCCTTTTCTGTCGGTCATCTTGTCTTCACTGTGTGTGTCCAGCAGGGAACCACTCTGGCAAATTCCAACTTGAGAAAATAGAGGGCGAGGGCTGCAGCAAAAATAGCTTGGGTCCTTGAGAAACTAACCAGGGGCAGGGGAGAGGCCAATGGCCTGGGGCAGGAGGCCTGAAGGGGTGTGGCAAATTCCATTCCGGTGCAGGCCAGTGTCAGGGTCCATAGAGTTGAGCCAAGGTTCTAGGGAGGGGTAGAGTGTTAGGACTTCTGGGTGGCCTTATTCTAAATCAGGCTGGAGGAATAAGACAAAGAAGGAATCTAGATATCTGAGCCCAGCTCTAGGAAATGGATCAGTCAACAGGCACCCAACCAGCCAGGACTTGGTTTCTGTTTATGAGGAAATGGAAGGGGAATGGAGCTCTGGGGACTCAGCAAGGATAGTCAGGGACTGGCTATACCTGAAGGGGTTTAGTTGGGGAATTGGCAGCCCACAGGTGCTATCCCTGGACACTCCAGATCCTAGTATACTGGCCCCGCACTATTCCTTGACCCCACCTTTCAGGGGGACAGGTGGTATTTGCATTTCAGACTTGACTGGGCAGGGCTGGCTCTGGAGGGCTTTATGATGGTGGGAGGTGATGGGGACAGGAGACAGAAAAGGTATAGTCCCGTAGTGTGTGGGTGAGGACTTTTATCATGTGTGTGTTCTTAGGAAGGCAAGGGGCATACTTCCTGATCAAGGCGAGAAAGAACAAAGGAGCAGGTTGAACAGAAGTTTCTTAACCTGGTTTAACAATATTTACCGAGTACCTATTGTGTGTTAGTTTCTGTGCCCAAGCTGCAAAGATGCATGAGGTGTGTCTGCTCCCTAGGAGGGAGTTGGGGAAAGCAGAAGATCATGGGCATGGAGACAGTTTCCAGCACCTTGGAAGCTTCAGGTTTCTGTCTTCAGAACAGGGCCATACTTCTCACTCATAGGCCAGTGGAAGAATTAAATAAAATAAAACATGTAAAACACTTAGCACAGCAGCTGGCTCCATAATAAGTGGCCGATACATTTAGTGCACTGATACATTTAGTGTTCTGCTTTTGGAGAAGCACTCACTGTGGAGGGGTGAGTGGGAGCAAAAAAGGCTGGGAGAAGTGCACCCTCATTCCCAGGGCTTCCAATTGCTAATGGGCTTTGAAGACCTGGTTATCAGAATTTCCCCAGTCATGGAAAATGTGGTAGAAGGCGGATCGGAACATTCAGAACTGGTGACCACTAAGTGGGATAGAGGGCTGGTGGGGCAGGTCCTGGAATTTACAGAACTGTTAGGAGAAAGCACCTTCCCAGCACTGTTTCTGCTTCCAGCACTGTTGTTGAGAGTGGGCAGGGTGACATGGTTACCGAAAGTGGAGGCAAGATGTGGACCCTGGAGCAGGGCTGTCTAGGAGAGGTGGAGCACGAGCCACAGATGCAGGCCACATGTGTGATTTGGAAGTTTCTAGTAGCCAAGTTAAAATAGGTAACCCTAAGCAAGCGAGAATCAGTGCCATGATGCGATTCATTGAACTGGGTGTGTCCAAAGTATTATTCTTTCAAATGCCATCAACATAAGAATGAATGAGGAAGTCACATTCTTCTTTTCCCACAAAGTCTAAGAAAACTGTCCCAAACCATCCAAAGAAACTTGGGTCCCCACCCAGGGATCTTACTCTAAAAGCTACATTCCTTTAACCCTTCTCTCTAGTCTTCAAGCATCAGCCTTTGAAACAAAAGCCCATCCCTACCTTTCCTGCCCCCTCTCTTTTCCTAACCATAAATATGCAAAATGTCCCATGGTCATAGCACATGGCTGCTCTTTCTGGGAATGGGGGGGGGGTACATTTGTGATTCTTCTGTGAATGGCATCTGCTCCCCAATAGCAGCAGGAAACAGTAATTGCTAGTAGCACAGCATCCTGACACAGGGTCAGCACTCCACAAGATCCAGTTCCCCTATGCCCAGCCCAGTCCGATCTGAGGAATGGGTTACTAACACCTGCCTGCCAGGCTTTTCCTGAGACTCAAATGAGACAATGTATGTGAAATTACCAAATGTCATTGAGACTCTTCACTCCCTACCCAGGGGTATCTTCTGGTCGAGGATCTGGATTGATACAAAGCTGTCCTTCCACTAGCCCTTCCCATGGCAAGTTGGACCCCCAAGCACAGTGAGCTGAGCACACCTGTGGGGTGCTCCTAGGGCACAGGGTGGCACCTCTGAATTAACCCTTTGCCTCCTATTTTCCTCTGGGAGAGGGGAAAGACTGTGTGTCACTGGCAGCAGTAGGTTTCCCTGACATCTGAGTTTGGATTCTATCAGATTATCATGCAAGTTCTTAATCTGTCCTTCTGGGCTTAAGGGGAGCAAGGTACAGACCGAGCTGGCCTGGGTCTGGTGAGGATTGTGCAACCAGGAAGGAGGTTTGAAGGGAGGGTCTCTAAGCAGATCCTTTGTCTTCCTGCTGTGGGGAACATGGAAAGGAGGTGCAGGTCGGTGATTTGAAGAGAAACTGGGTGTCAGCTGCCCTGGAATCAATGCAAAGTTTGCAGAACAATGGAAAGTTCTCCAAAATAGGGGCTGCCACAGCGTTTTCAGGGTTGGGTCAACATTTGATTGTGTGTGATGGGGTCAATAGTTCTTTGATGCACGGCAGTGTGTGCGTCCCTGTGTTGCTGCATCTCTAGATGGGAGGGACCCCCTGCCCCCAGCATCTGGTCCTGCTTCCTGCTGCCTCTCCTGGGCCCTGACCTCTGAGAACCGTCACTAATCCTAAGTGTCCTCTAAACCGTGTCATTGTGACTTAATATGTATTTTTCATATTGTATTATTTGTTATTTTTTTCTTTAAGATTTATTTATTTATTTATACACACACTGGGTACAGCCAGAGGCGCGGGAGGGTGAGAGAATTCACCAGAGCCAGAGCGGGGAGCAGAACAGGCAGACTGACGAAATACACTGCTGAGGGGAGCAGTGGGCATGGCAGGAGAGGTCTGCGCCCCATGTGGGACCCTTGCTGGCGGCCGGGGATCGAACCGGCGCTGCGGAGGCTGTGGGCAGCTTCACAAACCAGCGCTAACTGCTGCGCCACCGGGGAGGCCCTGTATTATTTGTTATTGAGATAACATTGGTTTACAGTATGACTAACACCTACCTTGAAAGGTGATCTGTGGCATATCTGGGGGACAGTTGGGAAGAGGGTTCGCAAAGCCAAGTAGGTTTTGGTAGAGATGTTGTCATTTCTAAGTCTGCTGTAGGATCCCTGGTCTCAATGTTCTTGTCTGTTCAGTGGACACGAGCCCATGCCCTGCAGTGATGGAGTCCTGTTGTCAGGTGTACCTGCATTTGAAAAGTAAGAGAGCTATGAACTGTAATCTCTAAAGATTTGAGAATATCCTGGTAACACTCTTTTCCTTCCAAGTCTAGCAGTGTGTAATTCTCTTCTTCAAAATTAGTCTCTTTATTGCTTCCTGGGGGCCCACAGAGAACCTTTTCTGATATATCACCTGAAAATTTTGCAGCAGGGAGAGGCAGGCAGGCACTTTGCCCTTGACTGACAACCTTCACTTGGGTATTCAACAATTTTAATTTTTCATGATTCCTCTGATAAAAATAGGGCCCGACTAAAAACAAATACATTTGTATTTTCCATCTCCTTAATTAGTTTCTAATTTGGGGGTTCTTATTAGCTCAAAATCATCTTGCTGAAATGGTCCTTGGATGATAAAAAATGTGAAAACCACAATCAATTCTAGAGAGATCTTACTATTTAATTATGCTGATTGGAGCACTAGAGACCCCTGGCAAAACGAACCTCTTAGAATAAGCTTGATTTGTGTAATTTGGTTTTTAAAAATTTTGGATGCATATTTATCACGTTCAGCTATGTGTTCTTGTTCTCCTTGAGATTCTCCTAAGAGCAGAGTGGAGGATTTCACGGGCTGCTGAGTCCCCGGGACCCCAGCTTAGCCCATGGCGTTGCTGGTCGGCTTGGACCTGTAGAGAATGCAGCATCTCCAGCTTGTCTGGTTAATTTAAAATGTATTTTATTTAAAGAGAAAAAAAAAAAAAAGGAAAAGGTGACCCAGACACAGATGAGGAAAGATTAAGTAGAAATTTGGAGCTTAATGGTAAGAGAGAGTGTGAAGTCCTAGAAATTGGGTGACTCTTGGGTTAGATATGTATCTAGAACCAAAGTC